TCGGCCGTCTTACCTTGCCACTCAACGTTAGTCATCACGGCAAGATGTGGAATGCTAAGGCTCATTTGTCAACAGCGATAGTGTCTGCTCCGTGTGGGCACCAACACCAACACGTTCGCTTGCGCTAGAATAGGCTGTAAGTGATACACTTCAGGATTCTAAATTACCCATGTCGGTCAAGACACTCCGCCGACATACTGATATTAATCCACAATAACTATTACTCACGACCAAACTGCCTCCCGCTCGGCGTGTACATTTCATTAGGGAGTGTGAGTTCAGCGGAAACACCTCGTCGTGACCAGCCCCTTCCCACTTTTATAACTGCGGTATCGGGCCTGTCTTTGCCAACGCCCCCCCCCCCGACCCGCCCCGGAAGAGTGCGGCTGGTTATAATAAGTAGGTTTCGAGCATGCCTTCGCTAATCTGCCTTTTCAGCTGCACGAGATCTTACCATGGCCTCGTTGGAACCCACATACGGAGCAATCTTCTCCGGCACTACTGTCTCATATCTGTACGTTCCTCCAGGACTATACTGCGATGGTTGCTAAACTATAGTATAGGTTGTACGACATCGCTCTCGCTCAATTTATGCTTTTTTGCCAGACGCTCAATCCGGCCGAGAGGATGATAAACTGCTTGGTCTGTCTATGTTTTCTCAGAACCTTGCGGGGACATTCTGACTAGGCTGCTGGTTAGGCGATATTCACCTGGCTGGTAAGCTGATGCATCCCCGCAGCCCTCGCGATGTTCACGTCCTTGAAGATGGATACGCTGCAGCAGTTCCTGATTACGCACGCCCTGTGGTATTACCTCGTTTACAAGGGCGGAGGCAACACGCCGGATCAAGATACAGAGTCAGCATAACGCATGTGGAAGCCCTCGAGCTCAAGCCCTCCAGTCGAAGCCGTTGTCAGATGCATAAACGGGCTGCCCGTATGGTCCACCGTCCTCCGTCCTGGGTATCGATGGTTTCTCGACGACGTATTGTGACTCCCTGGTTCTGTTGGAGAATCGTCCGAACACCGCGGAAGGTACCATGATACAGAGTCAGCATAATGGCGACGTTCTTTTCATCACGAGGTCGAACTTCTCGATATCGCTTGTCGTCGCCTCTCTTCAAGCTTCAACAGTCATATCCCCTTCAACGCGCACTTCTTGGCCTAGCAGACTACATTTTCTAGCTGATGGACACTTCGATTTGCAGGCGAGACTACTGGGCGGCATCCTGCATTATGACACAGCGAAAGGCCCCGTTGAATTGACTGAGGGCAAAGGGCACGTGACATTCTTCGTTTTCTGCCACAATTGTCGGCTGCGACCCCGCAGCAGTCCTGATTCTCGAGGTGACCTCGCACTCGATGCCCGGGAGATATCCCTCTACCACGGCCGTGGATGTGGGGTATCTGTCGGGCCGACGGCGTGATCTTGGACGAAGATAGCTGGAATTGCAGAGGTCCATTGAGCTGGATCACTTGTAATCTGGCGTTCTGTAAAATGAGCGGGCCATCGGTATTGCAAGTGGTGGCCTGAAGTCCATGGGGTGAAAATGTAATGTATTCTAGGCGCGGAACCATAGCGCCGCAGCTGCCTTTTTCAACGTGGCCAGAGCACGTCTTCGCTTTGCTTCCATGAGCGCCGTCACAACACTTTCGTCGCTCACGCTGCTCAGTCCGGCTCATAGCTAACTGAGTCTTGCCATTAACGAAGCAATACCGTCCGCCCTTAACACTACAGCTATCCTTCCGATCATTCACCCGTCAGCAGCATGCATCTTGGAGGAAGTATCCTGGCTGAGTTTTTGTCTGTGCAATCTCTCCGTGTCGGTTGTCCCTCCTTGCCAACAGCCACAGTCTGCACTCAGCTCAGCTCAACGATTGCGGAGAAGAAATGAGACGGCTTCGATGACCGTATTCACAAAAATGAAGGACCGGCCTGGCCTTACTTGTCTACTGGTCAGAAAGCATCATTGGACGACCTACCGCATCCAGGTCATCTTCTAGGCCTCAAGACAGTCGTTGGTTGTTTGTTTTGGATGGTCTTGGAGGAATCCTGCACGACACGCTGTCAAATGTGATTGAAGAAACTGTCATACATAATTTCTCATTCGCTGTATCATCAGACTTAGTCAGTCCTTGTCTCCCCAACAGTGTCCCTCAAATCTCCTCTCCCCTCTCATCCTCCCTGTATGGTTCTCAAACTGCCGCAACACTGCTGTCCCCTTCCCCTCCATTCTCAATGCCGTCCCAGTTGATCTTGTCCACGTATTTCCGCAACTTCGACAGATCGCCCTCCTTGGACCTGATGGCGTTGGTTACGGTTAGTTGTTTTAGGGGTTGCGCCTTGCGACGCTTAAACGACTTCATCAGATCGTTTATGAATCCTTTCTTGGCTTTGGTCTGCCAGAACCGGACAGAGTCCAGCTCCAGCGTCTCCAGGCACGGGAACACCGGTCGGTATTCCTTCTCCTTCTCCCTCCGATAATCCAGGCCAGAGCTGATCGTGTTGCTGCCCCAGCCTTCTATGCGCAGACAACGCACATTACTCATCGCCTCGAAGAGTTGGTATCGCCTGGTCGTAGCACCGTCCACGTATCTCTTCCCACTGGGTAAAATGAGGTTGCGAACCGCACCGAGGTATTGATCTAGAAATAACGAATAGAGACAGCTGATAAGATTCTTCAGGTGCTCGACTTTCTTGAATGCGAGATGTATCCCTCGCCTCGGGGCCCCTTCTGCCATCAGCGACATATATAACTGTCTAGCACCGGGTGAATGGAACATCGCTGTATCAAGTTGCTGGTTTGCTGCGACACGGTCTAGTAACCTGCGGGCTATCATCATGCCGACGAATGTCATTGCGTATTCTGCGAAGATGTTGAGTCGTATTTCCAGCAGACGTGGTGCATCAAGGTATCTGAGGAACTCGGCTTCCTCAAATCCGCTCATCTTCAGAGTCAAAGACTCGAGGTGTGGGTATTCCACCAGGGTATGTGTGCCAGCGCCTTCCGCCATGTCGAATGCGACGGTTAGCTTCCGCAGGTTGGGCATCGCTCGAAGGTCCGTCAAGAGCCGCCAGGCGGTAATATCTCCCCGCGGTTCTGATATCACGAGCTCTTGAATTGTCTCAGCGAACATGGGCTTGATGTCCTTGTAAGCAAGGCCGTCAAGGCACAGTATCTTGAGGTACGGGCTTCGAAAGTACTTCAGCAAATCGAACTCTTGGTCGTCATCAGCGTCAGGTCCTGAGGTGTCCTCTAGTGCCAGCACCTCGAGATTCGGCAACTCCACTTTCCACAGGCTCAGCAGCTCTCGAGAGGTGACCAAGTTGAGCGAGCGGATACGCTCAGCCTCGTCCGCGATGAGCATCAGCTGGGCTTGCTCCTCCCTAGTGTCTTGCCGATCCAAGTATCCATCGACGGAGAGGGGACGTGTCCCACTACGCGTCATTGCTGCTTTCATGACGCCTGGGCTGGTGATCGTAACGCCTTGCCAGAATGCGCCGTCGCCGTAGACGACGTCCCTGAAGCGCGTACAGACTAGCATTATCCCAGCTCGGAGGTGCATGTATCGCTTATCACGGCGGAGAGGGATTGGCGTGTGGCTGGACAGGTACTGGAGAAGGATTTCGGTGACGAGCTCGTCGGGAAGTCGGTCGAATCCACTAGGAACAGGCATGCTCAAGATTCTGGTGGGTGAGGACGAAGTAGATGCTCGGTGGTTGGCTGTGACCCTTCATGCTCAGGAATGTGGCTCAAACAGGTTGGGAAGGATTACTTACAGTTTTCTGATTCAGCGGTAAGACTGGGTATCTGATGCCTCGCTGTGGTATAGCAGTCTTGAGGCTTTGATGTTGGATATGATGTTAGGGCGAAATTTCGGTGATTGGTCTTTGGGTCGCAGAGAATCAGGAGTGTGGCTCAGATATCGATAGAGTTCTCAGCCGGATGGCTTACGGTTGTTGGCTATGGTGGTATAGCGTAGCGTTATCTCTTTCTATTTCCAGTGCGTCGGGTGAAGCAACTGTCTATGCCAGAGATATGGTGTGGAAGATATCTGAGGTGCTTTCGTTCAGCACGTTGTGGCGGCTTAAGAACTGCGTCTCCAAACACAGCCAAATACCGGTGTGGCCATCTGTTTCTTTCATTCTGGGGTTCAAACGTTCATGGCCCATGTCACTTCCTAATCAAGGAGAATGCAGGCTTCTTCGATACCCCCGCTTACTCTTGCGGCAGCAGCAGCTTCACCCCTTGTGAGACATCCTCCGTGTCAGTATCAACTTGAGAGCCACGCTTCTGACTGTCGGCGGCGTAGCGCATAGGCGAAGTTACGCTATAGGACGCAAACCAGTCGCTCAGATCTACAGGATAATTATGGCTACGGTTCACCATTTTTCTCGAGACCATGTACGATGAAATCTGAGTTTACGTGTTCACTCAGCGATCGCCAGGGGAGTCAAATGATCTTTCACTGACTACGGGGTGTTGTCCCAAGGTATGTACCACCTGACGTGATCTTCTTTATCACAAAAGCCAGGAATTATAGCGGATGGGCCCTTGTAACACCCACGTCTGGCGAGCCGCTTCAGCGCCATACCAGAGTGAAAGGCTGCTCAATGTATCCGAGTTATCCGTGGTATTTGACAGGTTGTAGGAGATGCCCGGGAGTCCACTGTCCCTGATGTTGCGGATGTCACAGTTCACTTTATTACACTGCTTGATAGGCAGTGCCATCCGGGGCTGACACTTTGGGTGCTTCTGGATTACGGGTGAGTACAGTCCATATCCAAGCTTCTTCTACTGAGTTTATACGCCGTACGCACATGCGCCGGTGGCTTCAGGATTTCGGAGACCAAGCACAGCCAAAGCTCTCGTCGCCACACCTACATGTACACACGCCCGGACGATGCCGTTCCGCAGTGGACGGAATGCGAAACGGAGGAGACGCTCTCCCAGTAAGCTTATCTCGTTCATCTCTCCCATCGTGATAACCATCTCCCCTTATACGCTCCCCATGGGCCTCTCAAGTCGTCCGCAGACCTTCAAAAGTAGTCTCTCATGCTATGTGTCTGTTAGGCGGTCTCTAAACGTCCGGCTTGCCTGCTTTGTCTCGGCCTTCGTCGTGCGGTATCTGTTATCTTGACTGTTACCCAAAGTAGCTGTCTCTATCGGACGCGGTCTCTCGAAGAATATCAGCATCTATGGCGACTGGAGCCTGCCTTGGAGACACATCGAGGAAATACTGGGTGCAGAACCTATGCAATTCTGTACGCTACAGATTCATCATATCGGTGCCTACGACCTCCAGTGCCAGAAGGACAACGAGTCATGAAGAAGAGCCCTCTCGCGTACGACATATGCAGGCCTTTAGTTCTTGCTGTACCGACCTTGATTGTGGCGTATCGAGACATACCACGAAGGTATTCATTCGGACGCTGTTCCCTTCGACTTGGTGTAGCTTGTTGAGACGGTATGTTGAAGCTTCTCAGGATGGCAAATTCGATACGGTTGTAAAAGAAACGTGATGAACAATATCCTCTACTTATTCCGAATCCAATCAAGGAGTGTTCCTCATTGCGCAGACTCGGTGTCGCGAGGAAGGAACGAGACTGGGACATTTTGCCAACTTCCATCCTCACGTGGACCCGTCGGTATGTCGTCAATCGTCAAGAGCATGGTTCGCTGAAGCCACTGCATTTGAAATGGCCTAGAGTCTCGCAAACGTATCCATTCGCTTATTACGCTAACCCTTCTCCGATCCCTGGATGACCCTCGCTTTTTTGCAAAGGAATATTCAACTTAGTAAGATTTCCACCCGGTACATCCCCAATGCCATACTAATATATTATGCGACTCAGTATTTCCCGTCAATGGCGACAATCTGCTCCCACATTTAAACCCTTCTCCCCTGCCTCTTTCCCGCCCTTGCTTCGTAACAGGTCCGTCCAATAATCCCCTTGAACTCTGGGCAATTGGCCCTGCAGTTCAGTCTTATCACTCATTCCAAGTGATGTCCTTTACCAAGGCCCTCAACTTCACGATGTCGCCGTTGTTAAGCTTGCGTGCCTTACCAACAGTAAGTTTGTTAAGTGATTGTGCCTTGTCGCGACACTCTAATGATCTTAAAAGATCGCCAATGAACGTTGGCCCGGATCTGGATTTTCCCTTCTTTTTCGGCCGTCGAAACCAGACCGACTGCAGGGTTAGCGACTGTAGGGCAGGGAAAAGCGGGCGGTGGGTGTCCCCGTTGTTGTCTCTGTACGCGAGCCCCGACGGCATTGCCTTAACGCCTTGCCCTTCCACGCGTAACATGCGAACCTCGAGCATCGGCTCGAAGATTTGACGCCATGCTGCCCCGGTGCCGTGAGCGTATCCATCTCCCTTTCGGATGGAAATGTTCTCCACTAGCTCAAAACAGGGAGCAACGTGTGTTGCTAAAGAGTGCAGCAGGGCTGCCTGGGCTCTAATCTCCTTGAACTGTAGATCGATCCCCGGAAGTTGTCCCTCTCCGTCGCCCAGAGTAATGTGTACATCGTGTCGTGTCCGCCCCAATAGTTGGAACTGGGCGACCGGTAATGACCTGTTCTCAATGATCTTGTGAAGATGGGGTGCAACGGATTTCAAGATGGAGGATATATCTTCGTCCGCCGCGCTGACCTTGAAGCTTGCATGCTGTAACACCGGCGCCTCCAAGTAGGTGAGAAAGCGGGCGTCCTCGGCGTGGGTGATTCCAACTGCAATAGACTCAAGTCTGTCGAGCTCCACTCGGGACGGCTTGAGCACATCGTCCGGCTTCATAGGGACCTGAACTGCTAGGTGGCGTAACTCTGGTGCACCCGATAGTAATAAGACCAGTGCCTCCGTCTCGAGCTTCTTCACCGCTTTTTGTCCATCGTGCATGAGAATATGTAGATTCTTAACTTTCCCCAGACACCGCGAGAGGTTATACCTTAGAAGACGCAAGATTGTCCCGAGTTCTCCAACGTGATGGAAGTGCATTTGCAGCACCTCCAGCGAGCCCTCTGCGAAGGTGATGCATAGACCATCCGTCTCCTCTAAGACAAATCGAGCCACAGACATTTCTGTATTCCAGGGTATCGTGTCCAACGTACGGCTAATCGAAGGCAGCTCCGAGTTCAGGTCATTGGGTAGCGCCAAGAACTCAACGCAAGCGTTCTGCAGATTTGGTGCATGTAAGAGACCCAGGCCCTTTGCGTGCTCCTTCGTCTTGATGATGAAGGATAGAGAATGCAGGGTGGGGAGACTGACATCCTGTGGGTAGCGTGCAGTCTCCCCGAATAGCCCCGAGTCCACATCCAAACGGCGTATACTTTCCATGGAATCCAGAGCATGTAGAATGATCGACTCATCTTTCTGCGTCCTCCATGGTCTCCTCATGTATTCTCGGTCTGTCACAGTGAATGTCATCCCCTGAAGTCTCAACACTTCAACTCTCTTCGTCATCAAGGTGCTGGCCTCCCGGTCAGTAAAGCCCTTCAGTTCCACCATCCTCAACGTGGAAGTTTTAAAGATGGCGAGAAGATCCTCTTCACAGGTTTCAGGGTCATCATGTGTGCCGTCTATCGTCTCCAAGACTAGATCCTCCAGTACGGAGACCTCAGTGTAACGGTCCGCATCCCACTGTGCCAGTACCATTCTTGAGGTAATCAAGTCCAGGCTCCGAATTCGTCCTCTGTACTGGAGAAGAAGGTCGAGCCGCGATAGGTCCTCCTCCTCCTCTACATCGATTAGGCGCCCACAAATGTCGAGCGGTTCATCCCCACTCCACATGATGGCACGTCCCATGGCCCCGGAGTCCGTGATAGTGATATTTTTCCAGAATATCGTTAACTCAACGATGAAGGATTCCCAATCATGGCATACCAACATGAGGCGGGTGCACTCGTCATATGGGTATGGGTCATGCCTGTCGGCAGGAGTGGCGTCCTCCAAGTAGCACTCGATCACTTGGTGCTGGAGGGTAAGAGGCAGCCTTTGAACATCGGACATGGTTTTATATCGTTAGAATTCTGTGGATTCGGCTGCTAGTGGTCGACGAAAACTTGGAATGACATCCAGTCAGGAATGTGGCTGGCATCAACGTGATGGGGATAACTCACAGCAAGTCGTGCTATTATCGCGTACTCTTCTTCTAAATGAAAAAGCTCAAGACGATAGCAGGCGTTCTTTTGTGGCCGGTTGGATGTATAGTGCGTCGCGGCGATAGGTTAGTTGAGGAATCAGGATTGCAGCTCGAAGTAGCGCGAGAGAAATAGCTTCCAATGGGTCGAGTTGATTGGATATATCCTTCCCAAAATTATTAGATTCGGTGATTTTGGACGAGAAAACTTCAGCGATGTTGTTGCGTGTTGATGTGTTGAGATGTGTTGATCATGA